ATCAATAATAATAATAATAATAATAATAATAACATTTTACTACAGTTGCCAGTATTCTATTCTTTTTTTTACCATTTTATTTATCCTCATTTTGCAGCTATTTAGTTAAATTAATATTCTTGATATTTAAATTGAGCTATTTGTATAGATGTTAGAGCTTTTTCTTATATTTTATTAACTTTGTAATATACTGCATAATTTAATTAGTTCAGTCTGTTAGTGTTATCGTCTTGGAGGGACTGTAACCCACATAATTTCCTTAGGGATTATTAAAGTATTCTGATTCTGACTGGCAACAGGTCAGTAGCATGATTGAGTATAAAAAGAGCATCTTAGAGAGGCAGATGATGAGCAGAGGTTCCTGAATCCGCACTAAACTGTGGAACACTTTCCGAATATTGTTCCTCAACGTAAAATTCCTAAGACTTGGAATATTTCATCATCTCCAGCATGGCTTTGTAGCAGAAGAGCCCAGGTCCTTAGAGCATCGTGAAATGTAAAATATAACAAAAAAGAGCCAGGACTGTAAAACATCTAAATCCTAAATAAGAGAAGAATGGGACAAGATTCCAGTCCTGAAAGTTCCCCAACGTTCTTCAAAGAAGAGAAAAAAAATGTTGCTGCTGAATCAAATTCAAAATAGCTGTATTTATGTTCTTCTTCAGAGTTTAAACATTTGAAATGTTTTCTATGGTCTACTCTGAATAAAACGTGGAGTAATGAGATTTGAAATCTGTTTTAACTTTATATTTCACACAGCGTTCCAGCTTTTTTGGATTTGGGGTCATAGAAGAATAGCTAATTACAACTATCAACAGAAGTGCTATTTGGTTTTAAAAATACATGTGGAGGGAGCTAACTGAAGGTGAGTTTGTAAAGACAGTCATTTTTTTTCATGTTGTAGCAGCATTCCCAACATTGTCATGGGTTGTAAGAGCAGCTGTAGGGAGGTGTTGGAGGACTTAATGAAGAGAGCTGAGTTTTGGGAAGACATTTGCAAAGCATTAAAAAATTAAAATCACTTCCAAATCAAATAAGAGCTAGAACAGAGACAAAACATGAAAATGAGTCTGCAAAATTAAAAAGAAAAACACTACTTGGCTCTCACCTGTTGCCCAATAGTAGATGTCCCAGTCGTTACTTGGTTCATTAATCAGCCTGTCATACTGCTTTAGCTGGTTCTCAGTCATTGTGTTCAGGTATCGCTTTGCAAAAAGGCTACAAGACAGAAAATTTATCAGGATCTGAAGCTTCCTTCCTGTTTTCTGAGAAAAAAATCCTTCACAATGATAAACAAAAACTTAAAAAACAGCTCTAATGATTGAAAATGCTTAAAATATTATTCTCACATATACAATGAAATTTTTACTATGAGACTGCACCAAAGCCTCATTTTAAACTCAAATGTTCTCAAGAATGTATTTAAAAATCAGTGATATGAATTATTGTCACTGATCGCATTTACACTGGATTTGATTAAGGAAGGAGCAAAGATCGATGGTAGGCAAACTTAAAACCGTGCTTAAAAAAATACTGGATGTAAACACATCCTTTAAAGCTGAGATGGATGAATGAACAACGCAGGTCACGGACAAAATCAGTACAATTCAGCAACCTTAGCAATATGCAGTTCTCCAACATGCCCCTCTTGCGGCTTTCGTAGAGAAGGCGGCGTCTCTTGATGTCGATGGGCTCGCTTGGATTTTCCTTCCAAGGGGGCAAAGGGATCTCAATCAGGTCAACCTTTGTGTCTTCGGGAGAGTCCCCGCGGTAACCACGAGATGACACCAGCCCTGTGATTGCTGGTCTCCAAGCAGCCTGACACATCCCGGTTAACAGCTGATGGGACAAGCACACATTAAAAGACACATGTGATAGGTAAAATAATCCACTGTGTCTTCTGAACGTGCTGAGTCAGTACATCCGATTATTCTAGTTACTAACAAACATTGTATTTGGGCAAGATTGTGGTAGCAATTATTATCTAAAAGCTAATACAGGCATTAGATCTACATGTTAAACTGCCATTACAGCTTTAATAAAGTTTAATAAGTTGCATGAGGAACAATTTAGAGACTGTGTTCTGCTGTTCGCATTTTTCAGCTGACATTGCGTCACTGATAATTGTGAGTCATGCTGAGACTAAATATTCTTAAGTACTTTCAATTTATGTTCAGGTATCAGCATCCAACTTTATTTACCATTTTCTCATTTTATGATCTAGAATTTGTGTTTTCTGTTTAATTTAAATTGGCTTTCAGTCTTCCAATTTAAGTGTTATTGTTTCAAATGTTTCATTATTCATTTTATTTATATTTTTACATGTAGTGTTAGACATTATAATGCAAACACAATGTCCTTCATTTACTCACAGGTAGACACATCACAATAAACATGTTCCATGCTTCCTCGTGCTTTTTGACAAATACGAGCAAACTGACTAAAACAAAGATCATCCCGCATTTCAGGTGTATATTTTATGCTTGAATGAATGGTAAGTACAGTGGGGAAAAAAAGTATTTAGTCAGCCACCGATTGTGCAAGTTCCCCCAC